GTCCAGTACCCTTGAATATTGCTCTCCAGTTTACGCCCTATACGTCCCATTTTGCGATTGCTGGTGATCGTGGAAGAGTGCAGGAGGCTTGCTCGTTACCGAGCTGGAGCAGTACAGAAATCGGAGACCAAATGCAATACATGCTGCATCCCTCCTGGAGAAAACTGAGAAGCCTGCAGTGTGGAAGCCAGAATGATCAGACTGAACGCAGCTTCGATTTCATTATTCCTGAGAAAGTTGTCAGCCGTTTTAATAGAGCGAAAATGTGCTACAGTGCAATAACAGCGATCAAAGCAACAGAGCATTCTGTTGTACCTGATGTCCGATATCCAACAACTGGACAAGACGAAGGGAGGGAGAGCCTCAGGATGACAGAAAAATAATCAGTCATGGCACAGTTTGCTCTTTTGGCAGTACAGTTCTTTCCATACCCGCAGAGCCTTTAATTATTTTTTTTTTTACTCGGCATATTCTTTTCTTTATTTCGTTTAATCACGCTAAAAGCTGTTTTTCGAATAGGATGTCCTCCATCATTTTTTACCCAGAGCGCGTTACAGTCACTAGTGTCAAATGGGATATGTGACGTTATCCGCTGATGGATGTTAAATTCAGCATAAACGCATTAAACTGAATTCAGGTTAGGGTATCAAAATTTTGTCCAACTGCGCTAAAATTAGAAAATAGACGTTACCGAAAAAAGTGAGCGCTATTGTGGCCAGAAGTCAACAAGAGGGCACTAATAATGCACTTCTGCTGCACTCTCGCGAAGGATACTGCAACAAGCGAATCATCACCAAAAGTCCGGTGAAAACAAACGGACTAATGCTTTTTTAAATTTTTAGTTTTGAACTGGAAATAAACCCGACCGAGAAAGCTGGAAACAAAACCACCCCGGCAACTTCTTCCATTCAAGCAAAAGTTGCTGGAAATGTGGATGTAGTTCGAAAAGCTAAACTGCCTATCTTTTTTGTCATTGGTTAGTTCTATAAAAATTACTGATTTTTAGTATTTTGTCTTCTCGAAGTACATTGGCTGCTGACTTTTTACCTCTGCTGAATTATTTTTATTTTTCATTTTTTTTTTGTAAAGCAAACGAAACAGCTGCCTATCCTCTTTTTTTACTCGATTGCACTATCAGCGGGTGGTCGCTCTTAGCAAGTTTCACCGCTTGGGCTACTTCCGGATATCTTCCATCTCCCGCAGTAATTAAATTGTATTAATTTTTCTATTATTTTTAATGGTGCGCTAATATTTTGCCGATTTCACATAATTTGATATCTTTTACAATGTTTGAGTGAACAGTCTGGTTGCGCCGCTGTGGAAGTCCTACCTGAAAAGTGGGACTTAGCTGACCA